ATTTGGATTTAAGGAGCAGTTTTAAACGAAGAATGTAATGCCTTAGCAATTCCTTTTTGATGAGAGTGTGATCCAGCCTTGTATTTTGCTCAAATCCTAAGTACTTATAAGTTTCGTTCTCGTGCATTTTGTTTAGTGTCTGCTTCTGTAATGTATTATTATTATTATTATTATTATTATTATTATTATTATTATTATTATTATTATTATTATTATTATTATTATTATTATTATTATTATTATTATTATTATTATTATTATTATTATTATTATTATTATTATTATTATTATTATTATTATTATTATTATTATTATTATTATTATTATTATTATTATTATTATTATTATTATTATTATTATTATTATTATTATTATTATTATTATTATTATTATTATTATTATTATTATTATTATTATTATTATTATTATTATTATTATTATTATTATTATTATTATTATTATTATTATTATTATTATTATTATTATTATTATTATTATTATTATTATTATTATTATTATTATTATTATTATTATTATTATTATTATTATTATTATTATTATTATTTCTCAACATCACACAGTTGGTTGCTTATTGCTGTGGTGGTAAAGAAAATCCACCGAGAGCAAACCTTGCCCCTGGGGTGAATTTCCATGGTGCGCCTAAAGGACTTTGCGCACGATGTGTGCAGTGCTCAGCACAACAGATTTCTGGAGAGTAAGGAGATTGTGGCATCCTGGGATAAGTTCGATGGCTTCCTGAGTTCTTTTTGATATCAGTCCTGTTGCACCAATTACCACTGGAACTATTGATGTCCTCACATTCCATAGCCTTTGAGTTTCTATTTGTAAATCTTTATATTTAAGATACTTTTCGGCCTCTTTTTGACTTATGTTGTAGTCCGACGGGATAGCTACGTCAATCAGCAGACATTGCTTGTGCTTCTTGTTTTTCAGGATGATATCTGGCTTGTTGGCCTGGATGGCTCGGTCGGTTTGCACCTGCATGTCCCAGATGATAGTGACTTCATGGGTGTCTATCACTGGAGGTGGAGTATGTTTATACCATTTTTCGTTTACTGGAATGTTGTGGTATTTGCAAATATTCCAGTGCAGGTGAGCAGCAACCAGATTGTGGCGGTCGAGAACAGGAGTCTGAGTCAAACCAGAAGGCTTAAGATTCGTTGGTTTGTATCTCTGACATTCTATGCATTTTCGGATGTGTTCAGTAATGTCTTTTCTCATCGTCGCAGTAAAACCTTTGTGAGATTCGTTTCAAAGTTTTGTCGACGCTGTAGTGTCCTGCAAGTGGAAAATCATAAAACTCATGGAGTATAGACCCTACTCGATCTTGAGGAACAACTAATTGGGCTTCGTCAGAATCGGAGTCACTGGTGTAACGGTGTAAAATCCCCTGAACCATAAGGTAGCCTTGATTGGTCCATCTGGCAAAGTCGACAGTATCAGAATCAGCATTCTCGAAACAGTCGATAATGCTCCTAGTGTATGGATCATCTAACTGCTGGGTTCTGGTCTCTGCAGCCGACTTATTGGGTAGCAAAATAGTAACTGTGTCGACAGCTATAAGTGACTGGTCACTATTATCTGAGCCAATAGGTGGTCTTGATAATGTATCTGCGATGACATTCGTACGTCCTGATATGTAGTCAATCTTGAGGTCGAAAGCTTGCAGTTGAAGTGCCCACCTGGCCAATCTACCAGTTGGTGATTTTAATGTCATAAGCCATCGGAGAGGTTGATTATCAGTTTTGACATAAACTGGTAAACCTTCTATGTATCCGCGAAACTTGTCGACTGCGTAGACAAGTGCAAGGGCTTCCCGATCAGTACAGCTATAGTTCTTCTCGGCCGCAGTAAGTAAACGACTTGCGTACTCTACCGGTCTTTCGTCGGGTCCCTCCCCCAATAGCATAGGCACTGACATCAGTCTTAATAATGTATGGCTTAGAAGGATCGGCTTGACGCAGAATAAGTACTGTAGTCAGGAGAACTCTGAGCTTCTTGAACGATTCTTGTGCCGAATCCCACGACCACGAAATATTCTTCCTTGTCAAGTTACTTAGCGCTCTGGAGACATTGGCAAAGTTTGGAATGAATCTACGGAACCATGAAAAAGTCTGAAGAAAACTGAGAACTTGTTTCACGTTCTTGGGTGCGGCAAGATGGGTGATAGCGGCAACCTTTTCCGGATCGGCTTTGATACCATCTCGTTCAATAAGATGACCAACATATTCAACTTCTGAAGTACAGAAAGTGCATTTGTTCTTGTTCACCTTCAACATTTACAAGTTGAAGGTGTAGACGGTTGAAAACATCACTCAAGTCTTTGATGTGTTGTTCAAAAGTCATGGATAAAATTATTAAGTCATCAAGATATCCTAACATCTGGATATGCAAACCTGACCGAAAATGGTTTATTAGCTTTTGAAACGTTGCTGAAGCTGTGGATAGACCAAAAGGCATCGTCTTATATCGATAGAGTCCAAATGGCGTGACAAAGGCGGTTTTAGCACGTTCTTCTTCTCTGACAGGTACTTGATGATAACCACTCTTCAGGTCTAAGGTGGTTATGTAGTTAGCTTTTCCAGTTGAATGGATAAGGTCATCTATACGACGCAACGGGTAACGAACATTTTTGGTGACAGCATTCAGTCGGCGATAATCAACACAAAGACGTGAAGTTCCGTCTTTCTTCGGTACAAGGATGGCTGGAAATGCGTACGGCGATTCGCTTTCTTCAATGATATCGCTGGCAAGAAGTTTGTCAAGCTCTTGACGCAAAACTTCTTTATTCGCAGGAGATAAGCGATATGGTGGTGCAGCTATGGGAATATCATCAGTGAGGATGATATTCAGCATATGGGGTAATTCCTGTATTTTCATCGAAAAAATCCTTGTTACGTTCCAACAGCGATTTCAGTATCCCTTCTTCAATATTGGAAAGAGTCGGCAACGACAAATCATTCCCGTCAACAACAGACAAAACTGCGTTGGAATCAATAACTTCATCCTGTAATGGCAAGGAATTGCTTGGATCATCATTGAAATAGTATATCTTCTTAGGTATATTGAGCACTATATCGAATTGTGTTATGAAATCAACACCAAGTAAAGTCTTACTATCTTTGTAGTCTGGAACAGCAATCATTTGCAGTTTTCGTTGTTCATTCATAACTTCGATGGAACACTGGTACATCTTTGCTTCAACTTCTCGGGGTATACCATCAGCAAATACCAGTTTTATTGGAGCAGTTTTGAATGGATGCTGAATAGCATCTAAGTGGCTTGACAACTTTGAACCTGCAATACTGCATCTTGCTCCGGAATCCACAAAAGCAAAACCTAATTTACTTTGAATGATTACAGGGATCATGGGTCCTAAAGGCGGACTATCAAACGTTGATAACAAACTGGAAGGTTCACCGAGATCAGCGGCGAGCATTTCGATAGAGGAAATCGTTGTTGGTGCAGGTTCACATTGAGGACAATTGGAACGAATATATCCTGGATTACCGGAACCATAACATGTTATATTTGTGGAGGACGGGTTACTGGATCGGACTGTTAGGACAGAAGTAGTGGACGAGGCTTTTTCAGCAGATTTGGCTTTAAATTTTCTGCAAACAGCTTAAACATGTCCATATGGTTTGCAAAATGCACACCGGTCTTTGGGCTTTTCTGCAACGGACGTGGAAGTCACTTTTACGTTGGATTCAGCAAGGCTGGATTGCTCTGCATTTGTCGATCATCTCCGAAAAGTTCTGGAAACTATGTCGAGGAAGTTTTTCCCTGATTCTATGGTGAAGGAGTCCATAAACCATTTCTAACTTGTGCTCCTCTGGCAAGGGTGTGATTGTTGTCAATTTTGAAAGCAGTGCACGGGCTTGATTCACGAAAAGATCCGTTGGTTCCGTACTGCCTTGTTCTCGAGAAAACAGTTCTCTATAATGTGCTGGTTTGTTAAAGCCAAAAGCATGACGTAGTGTATCTAAAACTTCAGTCCATAAGATGTTTGGCTTTTTGGTGCCTTGCCACCATACTGCAGCAGCACTATCCAGTAGCATGGGTAAACCTTTTACAGCGTTCTCGTCACTGATGTTCAGACAGTCTTTGTAAATAGTGATGGCATCAATAAAAGCTTCAGCATCTTCGTCTGGCTTTCCAGAAATCCTTGAGCCGCATTTAGAAAAATTGGCAGCTGTACTTTGGTTCGAAGTAGATTGTCGCGTATTCTGAAACGTATCTCTCATACCAGCGAGTAATGTTTGTAATTGTTCATTCGTCAGAACAACAGGGTCACCCATTTTGTCTTGATTTTTTTGAAACGATCGAAGATTATAAGGCATATACAGGAAAATCCAGCTTGGAGTAAGCTAAGTGATGGAAATGTAGTGCTGAGAAACAGCAATCTCAGGTAAATCCTGACAGACAGGCGACTGTGATGTAGGAACCCTTTAAACAAACTTGGACGGACACACAGGAAACTGTAATGTGGGTACAAAACGGAGGACAATCTTGGACATACAGGAAACTGTAATGTCAGCACAAAAATAGAGCACAAACTTGAACACACAGGAAACTGTAGTGTCGATTTGTGTGGAATATTCCAGAAATTGTGGGTTCAATATCCGAATGTAGCAAAACTTACACAATTCAGTCAATTATTGCACATTTACATCCTGATAATGTCTCGCATTCTATAGTTCAATGATCTACAGTCACAAAATTAGTCCAGAAAGTCATTGGGGTGGTGGTTCACTACAAAACCCCAGGCACACGTTGAGACGCCAAATATGTAGCGGGTATCGAAGAGAACTCCAAGACTATGCACTACACATGTTTTTTTAATGTTTTTATTTAACAATTTAACTGGAAAAAAATACAGAGTCGGCAAAATTATAGCAATAATTACTGATAATTGATAATGAAGTTGACAACTTGATCGGGGAAACTGACTGACTGATTGATGACACTTGTCAGACATGGTAGTGGCTATAGCTACGGCAACGGTAGTGGCTATGGCTTCGCAAGTGTGACGTTACAAGACGAATATTAATATTGTCTTGCTAATCATCCCACTTATTAGCTCAAACTATTCCAGCTGAAATTATTGCAGCAATAATTGTCTTGCTAAATGATTCCCACTTATTAGCTAGAAAATTAATGCACGAATTATCTTGCTAATAATCTGAATTCTGTCACCAAATTGTCACGAATTCCGGGTCCACTAAAACTCACGTCACCAACAATAACAACTTTTACTGAACAAATTGCCTCTATAAAAACTTACTCTATCAGTTATCGCTTATTGAAATTGAGCAAAACAAAACTTATGTAAACTAACTGTCTTCAACTGACTCAATAGGTACGCAAAATTCCCCAAATAATCACGTTAGAAGTGAACAACTGCATTCGTAGAATCTGGCAATGCACTTGATGGTTCCGTAACAATTTTTCAATATAGCAACTTTTGTATATTCTCAAATGAAACTTATTAATAAATGCCAGTCCTAATACGACTTACAATAATTGTCATTTTCAAAAGTTAACTCGGTTTGCTGCTAAAATTTTATGGATTCTAACAAGTGAGAGCTGGCCTTGTTTTAGTTCAAAATCAAAAACATTGAAAGTGGATTTATTCAGCTGAATTATTAGGGGCGTAATGTGCACGCTATTCATACTTAGTAGGAGAGAAAACGACCCCATTATTTAAATTGGGGAATTATTTAAATTATCGTATACTGTGGGATTTTATTGTTTTTCACTTCTATCAGCCATATTGAGAATCACTTTAGAATATTATTTTTGTATTGGTGTCAGTGATAAATTATCCTTAGAAAAACAAATAAAATAGTAGATTCACGTGAAAATGTCGTTTTTTCTATCCACTTGCACGATATTTTTAAATGTTAATATGAAAACGACTGCCTATATAATGTCTCAACCAAAAAACTTTCGCAGATGTATTTACATACATTCTAAGATAAGAATATGGAACAAATTTCATCTTTTTTTTTTTTTTTTCCAGAATCGAAAGCTCTTTCTTAACAAAGTAACAAACTGCAAAGGCTACGAGAATTCTACTTTAAATTGGTATGACGTCACCATTGAGCGTGACCCAACTACCAAGGATTTCACGTTTAGTTTAAAACTTAGAGTAATAAAAGAAGTTAGCACAAAATTGGAAGTAAGTAACTTTGCATTAATATTGTATTATGTTTTAAAGGCCCGACCTGTGTCTCTAAGCAGCCCTTTCGATACTACCACAGCACGACAATCGATTTTGCAGGTTTCGAGCTCTCCTTCTCGTCAATACCACAAAATTACAATTCTTAAAATAATATCTCAAGCTTACCCATTCATATAATATTTGAATTATTGCGATACAGAAACTAATATCACCCTGTAGTATTCCCCAGGCCTGCAGCTCTTCTCTCGGAATATCTCAAATTGTAGATCTCAAGGGAATTAATCAGAACTCTATAATTAAAATATAATCATTGCCGCTAGAGCGGCCTGTCTGGAAATTCCTATTATTAATTATTATTCCGAAATTATCAGAACAATCTGTTTTGTTTTCGATTTCCTCTGCGTCTATTTATTTTAAGTTTCAGAACAATGTTTTAAATGGTGAATACTTTTGTCTTTTATACTCCAGTCAATTTTTATTGAGAATGTCCTTTTGATTACAATTTCGATAACATGAAATTTTGTATCGGCGTGAAAAAGTTTTTGTTAGATGTCTGGAAATGGATCAAGAACGGAGTCCCGAAAAGCGCAGAAGTAATCAATAAAAAGTTAGTGATATCCAACCATTTTTGAACCAATAGGAAACCGGCAATGATCGCCAACTAACTGGAGAGCAGAAAAATCCTGCGAACGAAAAAATACAAACCGGGAACAAAAAGATTCGTGGGCTGCGACTCCAGATGGTCAATATCATCCTTTAAACTTACTCTCAATGAAGAATACCACGAGTGCTACGACCGTTCCCGCAGGCACAGTCGTAGATTTAGAGGACAATATTTCCAAAGACGTTCCAAATATTCTGAAAGGCATAGTGGTGCTAGTAGTAGGGAGATGGAGAATTATATTCACACAGAATCATTGTGGATCTGTGTGGAGGTGTAGACGTAGAGGAGAAGGTGGTGCATAATGACAGAGTGTAGGCTTGTCACGGGTTAAAACGGTCAGATCGGGACGATCTGATTTGAGAGGCAGTGTTACCTAATTAGATTGGTGCGGAGAAGTAGGCGCCCCTCTTAACGACCGAAGCGCGGGTCTTGTGTTATTTAAATAAACAAAAATTTACTCCATTCTAAAGATTTCTAGATTGCATGGTTTTGTGTATAAAACGCGTAGTTTATAAGTCAGTTAGTCGATTTAAATAAGATAATTATTGTATAAATTTCAGTGAGAGCGTAAAGTGACGCGTGAATTTTGTAGTCAATTATTTCAATAAAAGTTGATTAGTGAACAGAGTTTTAGGTGAACCGCTTAATCCGTGACCGATTATATTTTCATCATAATTTTATTTTATTGAATTATCAAATAATTTTTATTAGAAAGACCAAAAGATTTTTTAATTTTTGGTTCTCTATACTCGAATCCCTTTTGTTTACTTCATTCCGAAAATACTCAGTTTTGTTTAGTAATGCTTAGTTGGTAGGTATTTAATTTCCGACTCCAATCAGGTGATGGAGAAGGGAATGCCTTCCAGAAATGATTGGTACCGGCGAAGTGAGTTACCTACACCCAGTGGCGGTTCGCCTTTTCTACATAAAAAATTTGAAAGCATTTTACATTGTATTGCCAACATGATGTCATTTTGACTTTTATCTAAAAGAAAAACAGACTTATTTGAAAAGGCCGCGACCTTGAAAATCTAAAAAAAAAAATCGCCTACGGCTGTTTTTTATTTTTGTCGCCCACCCTTACTTGGACACCACGAGCCGCCACTGCCTACACCACCATGAGAAAGTGGAAATCATCGAGAAATTTTACGGAGATTGTCGAAAACATATAGAACGCAAAAATCTAACAAAACACACAGCTACATAATAATTGGAGTTCTAAATACGAAAATTAGGAAATATAGAGCGCAATTAGGCATTACAACGACCTTTCAAAAAGTGCGTTGTGGGCGGAAGTTCATCATCCCGTATATGAGAGTATGGAATTTAAAGCTTTTTAAAGTGCATTTTGTGGTTGTTTTGTGAATGAACTCTGTTTATTTTTTTATTTTATTGACTTCATTAGTGTTTCTTCCAATTAAAGATGCCACAAACGTGTCTTGTAGTCGATTGTAGAAGTAGTTTCAACAAGGTAACAAGGATGATGTCAGGCATTTTTCATTGCCCTCTGTTTTAAAATTTTCCAATTAAAACGTGATTTTTCAATACCAATGTTCCTGCATCTAAATGTAAGCCAGACTCAAAATACTTGTGAGAATCTAAGCTTTTATAGGCCTCCATTTGCTCATCGATGTGAAATTTGTTAAAACTGTGAATCAAAATGTCAACTGGACAATTTTTCCAACTAACCGTTCGCCCACATCCCGATTTTCCTGCATTTAAGTCTTCAGATATTCACTCTGCACCTCAAAAAGTATATTATAACAAAGTAAACTGTAATTACCTTGAAAATATTCCAAATAAACTCAAGATAAACAAACAAACGTCAAATTTTCCACACTCGCCATATTGAAAAATCACGTGGTTTAGAGAGCCTAATAGGCAAAATTTTCATTAATTTTTTTTCAAATACTTCTAGTGATCAGATATTACATAGTTTTCTTTTTTTTCCATTTTAATTTACTTACGCGTAGTTCTACGAAAAAAAAAATTATAGAAATTAAAATTTAAATTAAGAACTTTCCGCACCAAAGTTTTAGATTTGAATTTGAATTTCAATAATTTTATTTATTTTTTTTTCGTAGAACGCGTAAGTAACTTAAAATGGAAAAAAAGAAAACTATGTAATATTTGATCACTAGAAGTATTTGAAAAAAAATGAATTGAGAAAATATGAAAAATCCCCAATACACCGTAGAAAAAAAGGAGTGAAAATCAACTCAAAATTTAATCAATTTGGTGCGAGGTTTCAAATGGCAGCGCTCGTGACGTCAAGATTTCGTAAACAACAAACGCAGCAAACGAACTCCTGCTCATGCAGTGCTATTTTTGTGTGTTAAAATTTGCTTTTTGTGAAAATTGTCGCAATGGATGAAAAATATTTTAAAGGACTGCTTTTGAAAATTTTATACCAACTGCCAGTTCCCTATTGACAGGTTTGTTTACAGATTCGTGACGTCAAAAAAGGTAGCCATCCAATGACATCTTAGCCAGCATAGAAACATTGTTTTGGCGGGAAATTTTTCATTTCAAGTGTAGTATTATTTTTTGCGTAACAAGGCGCGGTATCAGTTAAATAAAAACTTGTCATATAAAATATTATGCAGTATAAACATAAACTATCGATTTGAAACAAATTTGGAAAATTTTATTCCACTTGCAAGTTCCTAGAGTTTTTAGATTTTTGATTAAAATTTGCCGCCCCTTCCTGTATGCCGCCCGGGGCCATGGCCCCCTCGGCCCCCCCATTGCTACGCCACTGCAGTTATGCAAAATTTCATAATTTTCTGAGCCTTTGTTCATATTTAAATAAATTATCAAATTACTCCAAATTTGAAACACTATGTGACGTAATTTCATCACTCACGTCGGTCGTCGTGGTGCTGGTACGCCAGTCACTTCGACAATTCGGGCATTGTTTTGACAAATTTTGGTTTGGCATCGTTTAGACCAGTTTAGGTTTGGCATTTTATGTACCTATCTGGTAGAGGTTTGATGTTTTTCTTCCAAATCACATTTCATATATTTGAATGATTCCCTGAGTTTCAATATTTTATGAGCACAATTATGGAAGTGGTATGCAAAAAGAAAAATTAAGAATATTGTATAGTTCCGCAAACTGTGTGCCAAACTGTTAATAGAAAATCAGTTGACATTGCGTTATGCAAAACCGTGTATGACGGCCTTTAGCCTGTGTCGACTCGAGAGATGCTATGACGTCACAGCAATGAATTTCCGGGGCATAACTGTTTTACTGTTGAAAAACGCGTAACTTTTTTAATATTTATCCAATTGAGCTGAAATTTTTTTAATGTGCTATATGTGAGTGATACTCGATAAAAATGTGAAAAACCGCGAAAAAAATTTCACTGAATGAGCCTATTACTCACAAGAACAAAACAAATAACTGAAAGAAGGTGCATAGGAAACGGTGACTCGTTGTCTATAAATTGATTTCACTAGCAATACAGGATATTTTCGAAAAAGGCTCTGCGATGAGTATGAAAAAACAAAAATAGTGATGAAAAATCCACCAACACAGATCAGAAATTCAGAGAGTGGATGGAAAATAAGAATAGACAGAGAAATTCAGACAGCCGACCTGAACAGAAGAATAAAATTGGTTTGGGCAGCATTTGGAAGGCTGTCGTACACAACGGAACAAAAATAGGTTGAAAACACACATGAAAATTCGAGTTTTCTATCAATGTATAATCTAATTCCCGTTATGATCCATGATGTTCACATTGACACTCACAAGACGAACGATGAACAATTTAAAACACATACAGCAGCATATTGAAAAAATTATCTTGTTTATAACAATGCAAGACATAAAATTAAACGAGACACAAAGAATACACAAAAAACACAATTTTAGAAGCAAAATGGCGTTGGTCGGTTAGACTTATCGCCCGAATGGAAAATTGAAAATGAACCCGTAAGACAAGATATTGAAAACCTTGGGATAAAAGGAGGGATCCAAGACGTTTATTAATGCGATGGTATATATGGACATAGAAAGCTGGATAGGCAGAGAGATTTGATTTCAGGATTTTAGTTGCTTTTAAAGTTCTTTTCCAATCAGTTGCCTCACTTATAATTTTTCAGGCGCCTATTTATTTCTCAATTTATTGTGCTGTTTTATATTGAAATTCCTTTTCTTATTATGTACCTATGTTTCCTATGTAAATCAATAGTGGCAGCATCTGAAGTGCTCAAGTTGCGGATTTTCCGTTTTCAATTATGGATATTAAGTTATAAGTCCACATTTCAAATTATATTCAAACGTTTGGATTTTATCGTACTCCAGTCTACAACACCATTTTCGATTTTTGGTTAGTGATTATTGTCAATTAAATAATTAGTTTTTTTGCATTAGACTTTGACTTTCGTCAAGTTGAGTTCTCAATTCTCAAGACTGCGTGTGTCAAAACATCCAAAAAATGTTTAATAACCCATATATTTAAATTCAAATGATACTTTTTTTCAGATTGAATTCAATGTTTGGAAATGTGATGCTGCAGGAAGCTTGGATAGCTGCGAATATTTTATTAAAGGAATGAAAAATAAAAATATTTGTCAAATTATTTCACAAAAGCATACATTTTGGTCACCTTTTGTTGAACATTTCCAGCCTCCATTAAGATGTCCCATCAAACCAGTAAGTTCTTCAATGTTTAGTTGAGTGAACCAAGAATAAAAACCAATAAACCAACCCTATCTTAGTTAAGGCTGCATAAAACTTATTCAAATCAGCTTATTCAAATTTAAAAACCTTTTGCCACTCTACTGCAGGCCAAGAGTAAGAATAATAAATTTTAATGTAGATAAATCGAAATAATTTGATGATGTTGAGGCGCTTAGGAGATTAATTAGTAAACAAATCCATTTAGATCCTTTTATAGAAGTCGAAAACTTTCGGGCATCGCCGGCATCTCCGGCCTCGTCTCAGGATAGAGGAGATTAGAAAGAAGAAGTTTTATTTCCGCCGTTTTAATTAGGGATAGATGCAATGGGATTACCCCCCGCAACCACTTTTCATGCTGCTTTGCTACCAGAAGTATTAATAAACTTCAGTAAATATCATGGCCCAATTTACAATTAACATAAGCCATTAACTGTAGATCAACATTTTAAAAAGTTCCTTGGACTTAAATAATCACAAATATGTTCATGAAAATGTGTAACATATTATTGTGATCACGCTTTCCTAAAAATATTATGTTATTTTAGGGAGTATACGAATCAAAAAAAGTGCCTTTTCAAAGTAGCTTAGTGCAACTATTTCCTGGAAACTCATTTTGGAAATCTCAAATGAAAGGATTTGATAATGGATTAATAATATCATGTGCTGAAACAGATTTAAAGGTTAATACAGAAAGACATGGATGAGAATGAATTAAAAATAATAATTTTTTTTTTGTTATAAGAATTTATTTTTCCTACATTATTAAGAAATAAGCTCTAATGCAATGTAATAATAAAAATTGTTTCTTAATTTAAAGCCCTGATACAAATAAATATATTATAAAGGATAAATCAAACGTGTTTCATCACAGTCTATAGCAAACAGTTGATTCGTAACAAATATTCTATCAAATTGTCAAGAAATGACAGAAGCATTAATAAAACGTGTCTCTAAGAGCTTTTTTTTCCAATGTCTTAAGTAGACCTCTTGGTTACATAAAGCAAACCCTCAAATTTATGGCTGTTTCAATAGGACTTGTCAGGTCACTTGGCTTTGTGAATCGTTTCCATTATAATCGTTGTCGCGTAACACCCTACCAAAGCTAAGTGTCCCGGTGAGCTGGAGGGTTTCTTGATTGATGACGACTCCGCCGCCGCTGTCTCTGCCGTCCGTCGATTCCCTAATTTCATATTGGACTAAGCCAGATGGAAATCCCGCTTTTTTTTAACTATTTTCCTTTATCATTTTCGTATGCAAATAATCATTTCTATACTTTAAAAAACGTAACAAAAAAATAATTAAAAAGGTAATTAGCTCGCGAAAAACGCTGGAGTTAAAAAAACCGATCACCGACAAAACTTTTGAAAATAGGAAATCGAATTACAACTAAACCGCTTGATCGAAATTTGTGGAATATCCATATGTATATAGGTTCTACATTTATCACTAGTTGGGCAAAGCTCTAGAAAACTTTTCGTTCGGTTCACTTAATTTTTTTTCCAAGATCCAAAGATCGGTCTCACTTCTCTCTTTCTCTTTTTCTGTCTTTATCTCTCGCTCATAACACTTCACAGCGTATTTTGGCTAATAGCGACTTAGTAAGTTTTCTTCTCAACAGATAGCAGCAAGAACGTTGAAGATGTTTAAGGAAACTGGTTTTGTTGAAATTTTTGTTAAGGTAAGTCATAATAAAACTGTGGGTAATTAAGAAAACAGTGTTGAAGTGCTTTTGACCGTGGCTGAAAATCCTCAAGTGTCCATAGCGCAAATTTCTGGAAACACTTAAAATATTACTTCAACCATCTTTTACAACAAATGACACAGTGAGTTTAAAAAATCCTCATTTTGTCCTGGCAAGCAGAGACTAATACAGGTTCAAAAATAATGTATGATGCGGAATTTGGGAATGTCAAATTGTGAGTTCATATTTCTTTATAGCATAATGCCGGATGATACTTTACATTGTTGAACAACGAATTAACTCGATTTTGGATGGCATTCCACTGTCAAAGCGAGCTAATCTGTACAACAAAACGGTGCATCAATTCATTCGACACAAGAAGTGAGAAGGTGGTTAGAAAATTAATTTGGTGTACATTGAATTAAGTGCTATGCAGTGAATCATTGGCCTGCTAGGTCCCTGGACCTTACCCCTTTGAACTTTTTCTTATTGGTCTATTTGAACACCAAGTTTATCGAGGAAGACCATTCAGAGAGGTTACACATCTAGAGCAGTGTCTAAGGGATTGCGTACATACTATTAGCCAAAGTACGCTGGGAAATGTCCAAAGAGAAATTAATTAGGCCTTTATTCTGTTTGACTGCTATTAGCCAGGAAGAAGTTGATGACGTTTGTGCCATTAAGATGGTGTAGCTGAGCTGCAAGTATTTTTTGTACGCAAAAGAGGTGGCTTCCAGCAAAGTGATGGGACGCCAAGACCTACGTCTCCCACAGTTCTGTGGAAGAAAGCTGTTGGACTTTCTGCTGGAGGATTCAACCATTTCTTTACAGCGCTGCCAATAATTCGACCGGTCTTTAGAGGACAACCCACGTTTACGTTGCCGTGGAAAGTTTGTGGTATACCAAGGGCATGACGAAGACGCAGAGGCATTCGTACGCTGCTGGGATTTCAGAGCCGCCTCAGTGGGACGATCTAGCATCGGTATCACGTATTTGTTGGGAAAGCACTTGACTCTCCTATTTGAGCTGGGGGAAACTCCCGGATAGCCCCATTCGTCGGAGCGATGCAGAACAGAAACTTCGGTCGATGGTAAATTATCGTTGCTCGATAATAGTGGTCTCCACTTCGACGAAGATTAGGTCATCGGCGAGGGCCATGGCGTTGATACTGCAATTGGTGTCAATGGTTCCACCGATGTGGTTAGGCAGGGAACGAAGGAGCCGGCCATTTAGCAGGTTGAAATGGAAGGATTGAATTGTGAAATACAGAGACGAATGTCAAAGAAGATAATGTGACAAAAAGAGTGTTTACGATGCTGGTGTCGGAGAAGAAGTAATGGTAAATGGTAATTCGGTCAAATAGTATAGTATGCAGCTGTCGGAAAACGACAGAAGGGTGATAGCGCGTTTCTCATATCGACTTTTTGAGGATAAGGGTCGTGAAGGCGAGTCTTTGAGGATTAGGCAGGCTGCCGCACCAATGTATAAAGTTTAGGATTCCGATCCTATTGAGGGACGAGAGATAGCATGGAACTGCCGAGCTTCTGGACCTGGTGAAGTTTAAAGGTCGAGAAGACGCCGTGTGAGCTTTATCTGATAATAATTCTCCTTTAACAGCAATATAAATAAAACAAAGCAAAATTTATATTAATCCTCAATTAATATAAATTTCGTATCTGTTCACTTTTTTGATTAAACCCATCAACACGACACAAATCAAACACTAAAACAGGTGATTTTACTTATCTAGTAACTTTTATTAAAGGTTGACAAAAAAACAAATTTCCCTCCGAAAACACTCTTGCACTAGCAGAAATATCAGACTGAATCGATAATTTCCAATAACTGCATACATCTTGCAACTTTCGGTCAGCTTGGCTTTAACTGCGTTTGTATTTTGTGAGATTTTTTCAACTTTTAGCGTCTTTCGAGAACCCTCGCAGAACTTGAAACGCGCTTAGGGTTCGTGTGTCCATGGAAAGTACTCACTAATAGATACATAGTTTTTGAAAAAGAAAGTTCAAAAATAATGCCAAATAGTTATTTGCGTTATGTTATGGTGTGCAGCATATTCATACGAAAATCCAAATATTTTACTGCACGCCAAATACTATCACGTGCAATTCAAGGTACTAGAGAGAGTGACACTAATGGCGGCCACAGTATAATGCAATTAAATGTTCTTAATGGATTTGCACTTACCATTTGCTTTAGTTGGAAAGTGTCTCGGTAAAGTTCGAAAGGGACACTGTCGATAACTATGTCGGTAGATAATCCTTTCACAAGCGATATTTTATTAGGCTTAAAATTATTACGCAGAAAAGTTTTTGTTTTAATAATTCTTTATTTTTGCTTTTCTTCTTGCAGAAAATTGAATGTTTTTAGAGCTGTCTTCACAATAAAATTTGATAACCAAAATACATGAGAACAAGCCAAATTATAAAAGCAGGTTTAATAGATAGATAGTACTGAGTAGATGAAATTAACTTATGGGTAGGTACTGACAAAATGTCATGGCAACTCGAATATCTGTTTATTAGTGCAAACTCATACTCCCTATGGACAAAGCCAAAATGTATAATATTTCAGCAATAGAATAGAGAAAACATGGAAACAGTTTCATTTTGAAAAATGTCATATAGTTTGAAAAAGAAAAAAAAAACGGTCTTTTGTCGGGGTCCCTTATGTCCAATATCCGGTACAACATTTTTGACTTTGTTTGTTGCCTCTTGGCAATTTCGCCGATTAGAATTTCCACAGGAAATTAGGTACCTAAAACAAACTCTCATAGTAATTGGAACATTGCTTAAAAAAAAAAACTTCTATTGATATTATGATGGATTTATTCACCAGCGCAAAGTTGCACAAATCTATACATAATGCATGGCAAAATGTTTGATATACGCATATGTATTCTTCAGAAAAGCAATTGTTTTGAACGCAAACTATTTTTCTCACAAATAAAAAGAGCGCGCGTGATAAATTTCATATAGTTAGGGAAAAACAAATTCTTGGAACTTAATCCTACAATATAAATTATTTTTTGATAGTACTTCCATGGGGAAAAATAGTCATTTTTAGGTTCAGTTCTGGTCTCTCGATCACAGTCACTATTTTAAGACACAAGCGTTTGGCGATTTGCGAGCAGCGTTCTCATGAGAATTTTTTTTCTGTCTTTGTCACTCCTAATATTAGATTTTGCATATCACTGAGAAAATGACAATTGTTCTCAGAACCCCTATAATTCCTCTTCCCGAATCAGGCGCCTAGCATCCTCATCCAAGTCTACTCCAGTTCTCCAGCTTTATCTAGGTCTGCTGTTCTTGGTACATATTCGAACCAAATCAGTTGATACGTTCATAATTTCTTTAACTCTCTAGTTTGTTATCCTTTGCACTTTCGACCTCCTTGCCGCTCTCCTCCAAGAGTTTATTCCAGGTATTTCGGTCCCACAGTACCTACTCCATTTAGTAGGAATATTGCTGTTCGTCTCGTATATTCCGATCTTCAATTGCTTCGTCTAGGGTTCCATGATGCGAGATTTCTATCCCCAGATATTCTTATTCCGTGCATTGTTTTATTTCTTGTCCGTTGTTCAATTTCAGTTAGCTAATAATAATCCTGTGCAATTGATACTTGGTCATCTGGAAAGCTTATAGTATATATTGTAGGTATTTATTGGGCGGTATACTCATATGTCTGCACCAGCGGGAAGCCGATCTACGATCGGGCTATGGTCTTGCATTGCAACTGGACACGTTTACCCTGGAGTTAAAACCGACCCGGAGGTGACTCGCTATTGAGAATCCGGCCTTAGCAAGGTTGTTACATTTTCTGCATCGGTATCAATATTTCCAAATTTTCCAATCAAATAATAAATATTTATTGACTATTTATTTTAATTATTAAAAAATGTCAGCTAGAACCTAAATAAAACTAAATAAGTATCTAGAAATAAAGCTTAAAAATAAACATCAAAGTTGTGGCACTAAATACAGAAATCTGTAAAATTGCAGATTTCTG